GTCATTTTGCAACAATTGTGTTAGAGGATCAAAAAACAGTTTCTGCAGAATGGTACACTACCAATTGTTTGCCACTTGTCTTGGAAAAAGTTCGAGAGAAACGACCTCGCAGTAGGATCCTCCTTCACCACGACAACGCCTCGTCGCACACCGCCAAGCGAACGATCGACTATTTGGCGACATCAAACTATAGGGTATAGTTTTAACAGGTAAAGATGCAGGAAAATAATTACATATAAATATATGTTGAATGATAATGTCTACTACAATTAAATGGAAAAGAAAGCGATGTTATTCTAGAAAACGAATCTTTACGATCGAGTGTCTTATATTCTTAACAATAAGTAATTCTTTCTAAATGTCAATAAGAATTATTGCATATATTTAATATAGATATTAAAGTGAAACTTGGCAAATAAACTTTTAATTTATTCAAATACAGCAGTTAGAATCACCCAATATCTAGTTATTGACAAAATTAACATAATCATATGCATACACAAGTCAAAACTGCGGAATAATTCGACGAGAAAAAACTGTCAAAAGTTAAGATGGCGACTGAGCGTAAACAGATAAAGCAATTAACGTCACCCTGACTAGTTCATCGTATTTATGACGCAATAAAATTAACATGCGACTTAGATTTGAGAATTTAAATTCTTCTTTGACTGGAGATATACAGGCAAGCAAGCAAAACTCAAACAATACGTTTATTTACACTTTTAAATAATAGTTAACAATCTTAAGCTGTCATTCTGAAGGATATCACTCTTATGGTGTTACATATAATGATTGTTCGTACTTGATATATTTATTTTTTTATTTTAAACTCCCTCTAAAAATTAAAAGAGCGATAAACTTATTCTTAATATAAAAAAGTAGACTAAGCAGTTAATATGAAAAAGTACACTCAGGAAATCTCAAAAGTTGAAGTGAAGATGAGCTTCGAAAAAAGTTTCGAAATGGGTGGAAGTCATTTTATTATTAATTTATAAGTAGTTATTATATGAACTACAGACTTTCATTTAATGAAACCAACATATTCAGCAAATGCTTAAAGTATTTTTCGAGCTGCCAGCCGCATGACATTATGTGTTATAAGCACCTGATTTCCACACTGGATATTGAGTATACCCTTAGTACTTCCACATACTGAAATATAAATCTTTAGAAAGCTTTTGTAAAGTCTCATTTCTCACGAGCTCTCAGTTTAATACACGGGTTATATAAGCGTATTTACTCTGGCCAAGCCGCGAGAAAACCCGCTAGTTAGTTATAAAATTCTACGTCTGTGTAATAAGGCACTTTATTATTGAAGACAAAAATAACATAAAATAAATAACTCTATAGGTACAAACTAAATATGTCGCATCAGTTGCAGAACATAAAAAAACTGATGAGAACGCAAACAATAAAATCTTTCCTTTTTATAATAATAATATATCTCAAATCTAACACAAATAAGCACTATATATTTTGTTTGATAAAACAGAACTTAAACTATTTTAATTTAAAAGTCACTTTAAAATTTTCAGAAAATAAAGTATTCATTAGTAAAAATATTATGTACTATTATTGTTCTTTTAAATAAATTAAAATTTTTATCTTATCAAATTAATTGTTTGTTAACATACCTTTTAAATATACTCCTCATTAACAACTACCTACCTTTGGGCATTAATGTAATTCTTCGACGCAATTAATTGAAAAAAAGCTAATTAAAAAAGCCATTTATCGCTTAATTATGCAAAATTTCGTATTATTAAAGGCTCGTATGAAACTATACGGAACCACGAAACCTGTTTCGAGCCACCAACGTCGTACAATAATGAAGACATTTGCCTCCAATAAATGACCATTATAACTGATAAACAACTTACTTACAGGACAAAGGAAAACCAACCTTTTTATTTCAGCGTAAAATCTAAAATGACTATTTCTTTAAAATATTTTGACAGTTACTTTTTTAATTTTATCCATCTTAAGAAAAAAATAAATGACATTCTAATTTAATTCCTTTTTTTTAAATGCAATACAACCTTTACCGATTTGAAACTTCACAAATTCGAATTATGAATAGGATCGGAAACTGTTTTAAAATGAAAGTAAGGAATGCAATGAAATTGACTTTTAAAAGGAAACAATTACGGTTAATTTTCGATTGTCAATTAAGAGACTTTTAAGTAGCAGCTGGTGTTCGGTTCGCTAAACGAATTCAGCTTCAATGTTGATGTGGCTAAGAGTTTAATTCAGTTTGTCTGCATTGAATTTATTAATTGCATGTATAAATCTTATGTGGCAATTAAGGGCTATGTTTATTTAGGTTTCATACGTGATCTTATGTTTTATGACGCATAAAAGCGACCGACTGGGGTAAAAACGGTTCGGTATTGAATAAACGCATAAGCGTTTGAAATAATCGGTTAAGATTCGATTTCGTATCGATCAATTGTTATTGAACTAAGGAGTTATTTGGTTTGGAATCTTATCCTTAATCTATTAATGAGACCATTCTAGATGCTTTTAGTCACTTACTTTGACTTTTGTCTTTTCATTAGATCACAAAGTTATTTATTATAAGTTATAACGTTTACGTATTTCCAACTTAGTCTTTTTTATCCTACTATAGGCTTAGGTAAAAAATATTACATTAAAACTATGTCGTTTTTGGTTTGAAATGTCTTTCATATTTAAAGATAATTTGTTTTTTCATAGGTAATATTATATTATATTTGTGCAAAATTGGTGTTTGGTATGCCTTAGAGCTAGTTTGGTGACCGTTGAGGTAGGATAATCTTATTTTCCTGATTTTTTTTTGTTTTATTAATAATTTTAAGTGTAATTAATTCATATATAATGAATTATAATGTTAAGTAACGGCTATTATTTTAATTTTACGACGTTTTTGAGGCATATCATTACTATTTTAAAGTCCAAATATTTCAATGTTATTTTCCATTAATTATGTATTAAGAATTAATTAAATTTTATACCTTGTAGCATTATTTATAATTTTATATAAATAAAAAGACAAGCCGTTCAACCTATGATTAAATTAAGTCTGAAAAATGACACGGGCGTAATGTTTTTTCCAAAATTAATAATACACTCTCTAAATGCGGATAAAATCGCGAGTAAATCTCTTTAATCCAAAGCAATTTACTGATATTGATTCATCGTCTAACTGTACTTCAATGAAGTAGGCGTAGAATCATCTTATAACGAAGTTAACAGTGAACTTTATTACAAACGGTTCAAGACACAATTTATAATTAACGCTACAAATTAAATCATGAACACAAAAACCGGCCTTATTGTTAATCTGCTTATTAATGTCAACTCGTCAATAATGACATGGTCCAGTTATTTTAATAGTTGCTCAAAAATTGAGATAAGATCATGTTATAGCTATCTCAATGCCGATATACATAAGTTCTATGGATATTGGCAATTTTTGGCTTTGGCTTAGCATAAATAATTATACTATAATCAATTATATTAATCATGATTTATCAATAAGAAGGGGCAAGGTCCGTCCATTTATATAGACAGAATGCGGGAAGAAAGAATTATTTTATATCATAATATAACAACATATCTATCAGAAATCATAAAATCATGTGCATATGAAAACAGTTATGAATGCTAAGGAAACAAAACACAATTGTAGCAAGCATGTATCGGTAGGTGATGATATACATTGAAAGAGATGTAAGCATCGAGGAACACCTCTAGATAACACTACATGTCAAATCTTACTTGGCAATCTTTGAGGTAGAAAATATCAAGTCAGCTATTAAATACCTATGCCAATTCATAAATTCGAAATTAATTTAAAACATATATTAATAATAATAATAAAAAATCGACATGAAGCTATAGAGCCAAAATGTATATTTTATAAGTCAATGATTTACGCACGATTTCTTATACTGTATAAACGTCTATAGCTCCTTTGACGTTAACAAAAGTTCTTATACACGTTGACAAGTTTTTCTATACTTCCTTAATCTTATATATTACATAATTCTTCTGGTCTGTCTGGGCTTTATCCGCCATTTATATCTTTCCACTATTGCTTTGTATGTTCTTTAATTCTTTCGTCCAACTTTCTTTCTACATATAATCAAGGGTTTGCGACTAACTTCATTATGCCACTTTAAATTTTCACATCGATCTTTCAGATCAACTATTTTTTTAAACTTTGTATACAAATTGGCGTTCCATTTACGAATTCAAACCAATAGACAAAAAATCACTTCACGCTAAATAGGTCGTATACATCCATAAAAAGTATTATTTTATTGAAAAATAAAAAACAAACATCCGTCGTCCAGTCTAGACTCAATAAAGAGGTTGGTAGTTCGATAACATCGTATAATTACAATAATGTCTTAATTAGCTCCGCTTGTGGGTGGTCTGGCCTGTGTGACGTCATCGACTGCGCGCACACAGCACGGCGGATACACTTAGGTTATTTATCAAAAGTTAGCGGGGATCATCTGTTCTATACAAGTATGCTGAAGATTAAATACCGTCGTATAGAAATGCTAATTCATCCAAAAGCTTGACGGCAGAGCGGTTAGCGCGTACGATGCGATGTAGAGGTTAAGCAATTCTTGGAAAGGCTAGCCATGGGATGGGAGACCAAACCTATCCCGTGTTCCACATGGGATTGGATGGCATATTAAGCCGTTTTTAATGGCTTAATCTGCAGTAGCTAACATACGAACAATCCGATCTAGACCTGAACAGTAAATTACAGACCAGTTAATTGATTTCATTGATACGGAAGGTTTGTTGCTCAAACAGTGACGACATTGATTTGATGCTGACCGATATCTTGTACAATAAAATTTTATATGTAATAAAAAATAATTTTGAAGCATTCACTTGCAAAGCCTGATCTGGTACATTCTATTCCATTGTGTATTATTTTGAGATTATTTTAAATTATGCTGATTTTTGTGTCTAATTGATTTTTTTCTCTTTTGTTTTAGGACGAAGTAAGTACGGGACCAGCTCACGGGACTCACGTGAGGACATTCCAATTGTTTTCTTTTTATTTAAAATTAAATATTTTTTGTTTAAATATTTTGTTAAAAAAATAAATATTAACCAAATTAACATTATTGTTAATAAAAAATTACAATTAAATATAATGATATAACTATATTTCCTAATAAATGCTGGGAATAGTTGTGTGATATTTAGAAATTAATCAAAGTTCAAAAATATATTATTAGACTATTGGAGAGTCTTAAAACTTTTCGCCTCATCTCTATAATGGCCTTTAGTTGAAGCGTCTTTATGGAAGTAAAGTTTATAAAAATATTCTACTTTCATTTTTAATTAATTTACTATCAAAGGAAAAACGGAATAGTTAATATAAAAGAAAAAAAGTTAAAACCATTAAAGCATGCCTAACCACCGTCAAAACATCGAATTAAGTGTTTAATGGCCATCATTCAGTGTTGCTATCACAAAAAACTGTCTCCGAAGCTTTCTTAGCAGGAACGTAAAAAATATGAGGTTGGTAACCTCGTACCGAAATCATCCATCATGACTTTGTTAGTATGAAGTTGGTTTGAAGCCTTTTAAAAGTGCTTTCAAATTATCGATACTTTCGTGATTTCATAATTTAACAAAAATGATAACATTCCTTGTCTATTTTAGGATACGTTTTTGGTGTAAATATTTATTTTACAGTAATGAAATTTATAATACTATACTATAAACACCTTGGATGTCATTTACACCAAATCAATGTATTATTTAATAAATTATTTTTTGTAGAAACATTTTAAAAGGAAGAAGACATCTATAACTTGTTTGGATCCAAAGTTACAAGTTAAATCAAATAAATAAAAATTAACTGCCGATCCTAGGTCCGATTTAAAATCATTATCTCGATAGCTCGCTTTATGCTTATTTTCATTCTTTTTTTACTTCAATGAGCGGTACTAATATGAAATAATTGAATAACATAAAATGCTAAATTTTCTATATTACTCAAAAGTTGTAGTAATAGAAAATGCATTATATTTCTTATTACGTTGGAAGTATAAAAGGTTATGTGACTTTTAATGTCGTATGCGATTTCAAACGAATAAAGCTCAGAACTCAAGACAGTAGAAGTTAGTTATTCACATCGGCTTGGCCAAGCTAGTACTTTGATTGTAATTGCAGTCAGACGTTTTGACTTGTAAAGGCGATAATGTTATATTATATGGACATAACCATAAGCAACTGCGTTCCAGGGGATGTTAGTATAAAATTAAATGAAATTACTTGATAATTTGCTTGCTAAGATAATATTTAATGATTTCTTGTAACCTTAGTTTTCCAGTAATTCATTTAAAAATTAATTTTTGCCATTTTATTTCATGCTACACGGTACATCTGTCTGTATGTATGTCCATATCATCAGTATTTTTTCATGATATATGAGACCGTGACATACAAGGCCCAATCGTGCATTAACATTATTTGTATAGGCTCATTTCATTGGACGACAAGCCAATGACATTAAAAAAAGAAGCCCAGAAAATCGCACGCACTCCGCATGCACACCTTGTTGATTAATAAAAATTAGTAAAAAAACTTGTGAAAATGCTGATATTTATTGTTTTTATGCATGTTTTTTGTGCACGCGTTATTTAAATAAATTTTAGTTTTCGTTTTGTGTGTTTCATATTTTGTGTTCATGCTGTGTTTTTAGCCAATGTGTAAAAAAAAAAATGTGTCGACTCTGTTGTGTTTAGTTCGACACCCGTTCGATCTACCGTTTAATTTTTTCATATGATTATCCCTGTACACTTAAAATCGTAATTCAAAATATAGTGGATCTTTCCTACTACTCATACGAATAAACATGGCATTTCAGGGGACATCAACTTCTTATTCTATTTCTCCTACAACGAAATCTATTCTCAAAACGCTAATACGACTCCTAAGAAACGCATTTACGATAATTTATGATGCAACGGACTTAGGACCTGCCTCTTATGCATAAAAGTTATGAGACCGATTCGAATTTTTCCGAATTAGCGTTAGAAGACAATTAGATAGGCCCTCACGTGCGCCGCTACTGAATTTACCTTAAGGCTACAGTAAGCCATCGCCGCCACATATTAGGGGCGGCAAATAACGGCATAAAAGCTGAATGATGAAATACTGAGTACTGATAATTTTATTTTCACTTGTATATCCAAGACCAACTCTTAATTTAATGCAGATATATATAAAGTATTTTCATAAAATAACGACTGTTGTGTGTTCTACGCTGACATATATACCAACAGATGTTAGCAATAGGAAATTATATAATTTCAGCATGATATAAAGAGAACTATTTTTTTTATCTATTTCAATAAAATCCTGAACGAAGAAAGTAAATTCAAATGCAATGCGTACATTATAAGAGGTAAAAGAGAAGCAGCTAGTACTACATGGCCTAGGGTGGTTAGTACTACATAGCCTTGCGCGGCTAGTACTACATGTCATGGTAATTCGTACGAGTTATAAGCATTTTTAAAGCCAAAGAGGACATCAGAAGGCGATAATTATAACGATAAACGGTATATCGATAATTCGTTTTCAGAGAAAAATCGCTTTTTGTCATATGACTCTTTTTTGTTAATGGCAGTGTTTCTGAGCTAATGCTTTAATTAATTAATATGCAGAATGTTGTAAAAAAAATGATTAATAAAAAGAATGTCATTAATAATTAGTAAGCAGCAGTAATATCACTATAAAAGAAAATTTTATTTTTTTCTGTCATTTAATATTGTGTTAACCGATTTATAACTGTTACCTATTTGTTACTCAGCAAGGTCACTCATTACCGAAGACATCGCATCGCGGCGCGAAGAATAACCCGTCAGGCAGTCGGTGAAATATTTTGACCAATTTTATACTATAATGCGTGCGCAGCGAGAATTGGTTAAGATATTGCATCGTCCGCTTGAATCGGGAATAGCTACGAGGGAATTAAGTTATATATTGTGTATAATTTGTATGTGTGCCTGTGTGTTTTATTTTTTCGTTTTTCATGACCTTTTTGGATTTGTCACATGGAACGCGTTCTGTTGGATCATAAAATACCTAGTAAACACAAGTCGGTTATTGCTTGCACTCGATGTCGCCATTCGTACAAATACTCGGAACTATGCGAATATTGTTTAAAGGATTTTGTGCATATAGTAGAATTCTGTGAACTTTCTCGCGGTGGAACGCTTTCAGTGCGATAAAACCTTTTTGCTTTTTAATGTTTTTTTCACTATTTATACTGCATGTTATCGATGGCAAATTGGTAAGCCTATAATCTTTTAGGACTTTCATGGATCTTGAAAACCTAAGTAGCAAAAATATTTGCAATCTAAGTAGTTTAGTCTACTTTTTAAGGTTCCGTAGTAAACAAGAAACTCTTATAGTTTCGCCATGTCTGTCTGACCGTCGGTCCGTAGTTTAGCTCAAAAACTATTGGTACGAGAAAGATGTAATTTGGCATATAAAGTGGGGTTGACATTTTGTTTTCTTTTTCGCTAATAAAAAAATATTAAAAGATACATTTAATATGATTTTCGTACTCTATATTACCCCGCCGCCATCAGGTTTTCCAACTCCTGACATCCACGCTGTATACTGAGTGTTGTTTATATTTCAACAAGCTATCAAGCTTTAGAAAGCTCTTGAACTTTTTTTCACTATCTCTTAAACTAATAGTGCTGTAAATGTAGCTCAACCCTAAGCAGAACTTAATCTAACGGACCCTTATTTATAATTACATGACGTTTTGAAAATTACGAAACCCATGGTATGGGGCATTTGACTAGCGGCAACGACAAAAGTATGATAAATTAAGCATAATTATTTTGTAAATATTTAGACTATTAGTAAAATGAAAATGGAGTAAGAAAATCCAAAGGTAAAAATGTATTAAATGCAATTGGAAAAACCAAATGTAAAATAGGTATCCAAAGGTAAATATTAAGCATTATAATTTTGAGATCAGTCAATGAGGTAGAACAGAAAGAGACATATGATAGCGTATTTGCGTGAAATAAAGCGGTAAAATTACCTTTAATAAATATCTAGCAAAATATTGTCAGAATAGAAAAAAAGTAACCAACTATCGAAATCGACATCGTGAATAAATTTTTCTATAGTGAATAAACCAACAAGATATTAGTTAAACCAACATTATATTGTGAATAACCTCACAAGATATTAGTTATTAGGACTGTAAAAAGCAAATTCTCAATATCGCACAACTTGTCTGGTACTTAGTACTCAGAGTCACAACTAATGTGACTCACTGATGTACCAGCGCAAAAGGCTAAACGTAGCGCGGCAAATGTCTGCCAATCGGAATGATTAGAGTAACGCGCTATCGGGCGATCCACGCGCTTGATCTCTGCAAACTGTGAGGGAAATAAACACTTGATTTGTTATATTTTACACTTTATAGTCATTGAAACAAGATTGATTATTTATCGTTTTATCACCTTCGATAGTTGTATGCTATGTACTCTACGCGATCGAAGATTTATTATGTATAATATTAGTTGAATCTTATGGTTGGAGCCGATCTCATGGAAGATGCGTGACATTTTGTCGATCGTGGAACGTCTGGCAAATATATAATATTTGCTGTTTTTCCGCGGTTTTGTCAATTTAGCCTATATCACCGTATGATGTATCAGCTCAGTATTTCCGAAGATTACCCACTACAAGCAAACAAACACAAAGTGAGAAAGTTTATCTCTTTATAACATTAGTATAGAGGACATTCATCCTTACACACTATACGGAAATTCCATCGCGTACTTACACATCTTCCGTGAGAAGCTTGACCGATCTTCTTTCAGATTTGCAAAGAACTTTACCTGGGAGTCTAATATATAATACAGACTTAGTGCAGATTTGTAGATGTCCATAACTGCAGAAGCAAACCGCAACCAATGACTTAACGTGTCTTCTAAAAAACAGGAGAGAGATAATATTTTCTTCATCCGACCGAAAACATGCATTTAGTCGGGGATAATGCAATATTACGTGATTGTTCAAAATTAACCTTCCCACAAATCACGGCAGGATAATTATCTAAACCATAGAGTTTCCCGTAATAATAGATAATATTATATGTCAACATATACACAATGTTTTCGTTATCCAGGTCCAAGAACTAGACGGCCAAAAAAACCACCCGGGGATGGTAATCCAGCGGACGAGAAAAGGCCAAGAACAGCAT